GCACAGGCGTCGCAGCCGCCACCAGAACAGCGGTGGCGGACATAACTTTTTTAAGAACCCCTCCCGAGAGCTGGGGGAGCCAGAATGACCTATCGCATGTGATGTCCAAGTCATGTGATGTCCAAGCGGTGTTGCGGCTCAGACATCACACGCGAGAGGTGGAATTTGCCCCTACGAATCCAAGGCCACCACCCCTGGACTCAGGGAGGCAAGGGAATGCAAGAGGTGGAATTTGCCCCTACAAGTCCAAGGCCACCACCCCAGGGCTCAGGGAGGCAAGGGAACGTCTCGACCCGCCCCTCCCCCCCCCCCCCACCGGGTCCCTTCCCCTCCCCCCCACGGGTGGGTGTTGCAGCTGCCATTGAGAACAGCGGTGGCAGCCATAACTTTTTAAAGAGCTCCTATCGAGAGCTGGGGGAACCAGAATGACCTCTTGCGTGTGATGTCCGCTGCTCAGACATCAGACGCGAGAGGTGGAATGTGCCCCTACAAGTCCAAGACCACCACCCCGGGCTCAGGGAGGCAAGGGAACGTTTCACACACACCCCGGTCGTTGCTGCTGCCGCCGAGAACGGCAGTGGCCATAACTTTTTAAAGAGCCCCAAAGGAGAGCTGGGATAGCCAGAATGACCTCTCACGCGAGAGGTGGAATTTGCCCCTACGAGTACTCAGGGAGGCAAGGGAATGTTTCACCCCTCCCCTCCCCCCCCCGGCGTTGCTGCTGCCGCCAAGAACAACGGCGGCCATAACTTTTTAAAGAGCCCTAAAGGAGAGCTGGGGGAGCCAGAATGACCTCTCATGCGAGAGGTGGAATTTGCCCCTACGAGTCCAAGGCCACCACCCCGGCACTCTGGGGCTCAGGGAGGCAGGAGACCGTTTCGCCCCGCCCCTCCTCCCGTGCGCGGGCGTTGCTGCTGCTGCCGAGAACAGCTGCGGCCATAACCTTTTAAAGAGCCCCTCCCGAGAGCTGGAGAGGCCAGAATGAATAACCTCTCTGCAAGAGGTGGAATTTGCCCCTACAACTACAAGTCCAAGACCACCAGTATCTTATTCCCTCTCAATTTTGCCTGCCTTCACAGTCCTTGGACATAATATCTTATTCAAGTCCCCGGTCCCAGTTTCCATAGCCAACTGAAAAGGAGTAGTGTTAGTCTGTTATAACAAAAGTCCAGTACCATCTCAAAGACTAACAGTATTTATTTCAATATGATCTTTTGTGAGTCACTGCTCACTTCCACGGATAGGTGGAGAATAATCAAACCAGGAATTCTTCTTAAGGGGAATATAATGGGGGAGGGGGTGAGACCAGTTAGATGTGAATTCCGTTATGAGTCTGCAAGTGTAAATCCCCCGTGTAAGTGGCCGAACTGAACACCATAACTTCGTTTCCTGAAGCAAAGGCTGGACAGAAGTGTGTGTGTGTGTGTGTGTGTGTGTGTGTGTGTGTGTGTGTGAGAGAGAGTGCACCTGGGGGTCATGGCAATCTCTGAGAGAGAGAGAGAGAGAGAGAGAGAGAGAGAGAGAGAGAGAGAGAGAGAATATATATAAAGGACAAAGCTCGACCCTTCTTGCAACATAGTCTTCCTGATCTTTCACCTTCCACGTTTCAGCCTAAGCGACATTTACTCTGTCCGACTCAATCGTCGTTGCCCCTCCTTCCCCGGCAGTAGTCACATTTTGGACGTTAACTGGAAAATCGCTTCGCCTCCCGTTTAATAGCAAAACAGAGTCAGTCTGTGCAGAGTTGATGACACTTCTTACTGGACCGTGAAGAACTAACCTCAGCTTCAAGATCCATTCACGTACTTGGCGGCAAGCCGAAGAACACTTTCCTGGCAGTTCGCCAATCAAATAAAATGGGATTTATTTCCGTGTAGACCTGTGTACAATTGCTCCCTCTATCTGTCATCCTCAGCACACAAGGAATCTCTCAAGAACGAAGGGCAAAAAAAACCCACTCAGCAGCTTCACTTACCATACTGAGCATGCTCGGGTGACTTGAGCATGCTCTCTATTACCAAGGCACGGATGTGGAATGGGGAACATCGCTATAATTGGAAGAAAGCCATGGAGGATAGAAGGAAGCGCCGGAGATGTATAGTTGTTCCTTTTCCATTGCTGCTGCTTCTCATCATTGGACTAGCCTCGCCACTTGCCCAGGGTCGGAATCTCCGCTTTGTTACCTTGGTGAGGAAACAACAATTGGGGCGGGGGCAAGATATTACGGGGTGCGGTATAGAGCTGGGCCATGATGGGCTGGGGGGGGGATTCACATGACACTGGCAGCCCCAAAGATTAATAAAGAAAAAAAATGCAACCAATCATGAAATATCATGAAATGAAAAAGAAGGAATTTCTGTCTCGGTGGAAAATAGCTACCTTTTGCATTTGCCTTGTAGTGCTTACAGTTGACAAAAATCCTGGTTTGGTTGTTTGTTTTCTGCAGGTATCAGGAAGCAAGTGCTTTAAAATCAATGCTAAGGACAGCCACAGCTTTTGTGTTAAGAAAATATCAAAAATTATATCTCTTGCTATATTTTTAAAAAATATACTTACTGTTAGTATGATATGAGCCAGGAATGACCACAGAAGTAATAATGATCAGTCTTGCTTACAGGCATCATCAAGTGTACTTTATTGTGCATGACACCTGCTGCCAGATTTTTGTTCTCTCCTTGTCTCCAGGCTAGCAAAGTAAAGTAAAGCCAGTGATCTCTGGGACAAAGCAGTTCAGAAGCAGCAGCATGAATGTAGAAAAAACCCTGGCGTCTTTGTGACTTTGCAGTATTTTTCCCCCCAGTTATATCGTCATGGTGATCGTTCTCCCGTGAAGGCATACCCCCGAGATCCCTATCAGGAAAATGTTTGGCCACAGGGGTTTGGACAGCTGTCTCAGGTGGGTATCCCAGAAAGAAACATTCTGTTCTCAAACAGGACAACTCAGGATGCAGGGCAAAATGTATTTTGGTAATACATTCTCTTTTGGGTGCCAGTTTGAAATTCACATCTTTTTTCCCACCCACTGTGCTTTTTAGGTCTTTTTTGCTGCTGCCTTTCTTTGCTTCCTACTATCTCAGAAAGAAGTAGATAGTAGGCTGTTCGGGGAGGACAGCTTCATCTGTTTCAGGAAGGATTTTTGTTCGCGTTTCCTGAGTCAACAGTATTCACGCTGAAACTGTTGGCCTTGCTTTCCACTCTGTGCTGTTTTGGCAAGATTGCAATAGACTCTGCTTTGTTGTTAATTTGTTGCTGTTGATGTGCATAGGAAGGGATGCGGCAACACTGGGAGCTGGGCCAAGCCCTGCGAAGGCGCTATGATGGATTCCTGAATGCCTCGTACAATCGACAGGAGGTCAGTACACAATCCCTGTTTACTACAATAGACAGGAGGTCAGTACACAATCCCCGTTTACTAATCCTATCAGTACAGCTTCCTTCCTCTCTCCTCCTCTCTTTTCAATGGGTAATTATTAATCAGAGATCTGCAAACTGTGATGTTTACTGGATCGTGTCATTTTCTCTGCAAAGAGGGAACACATGCTTGGGCTTGTCTCTGTTCTTCTCAAGGTAGAACTATAATTAGAGGCACTCAGATGAGTTGTGGTTTTTTACGTCGCCTTGTGATGAAAGTAGACACTGGAAGTCACAATCAGTTATCAGGATTCAGCAAAAGATAACGGTAATAGCACCTTGTGCTTCTCAGCCACTGTGTCACATTTCAGCTATATAACAGAGATCGTGGGCCCTTGTGATCAAAAACCAAACCAACTGGATTTTTTTTAGCCCTCAGCATGTTTTTCTGTAACTTAACAACAAAATCAGTCAGCAGCAGAAGAAGAAAATTAAACTAGTATATACTTTAAGGGAAAGAATGTGGTGAAAGCAAACAATGGCCCTACCTCTTCCCTCCTTTCTAGGGGGGATGACCACTCTCGTCAGCAGCTTCTTGTGGCTTTTTAAAACGAGTTCTGCAGCCACGATAGCCTCAATGGCAGATAAAGTTCTTTAGGAAGTATGATACCTCTTCTGCCCAGAGTAGAGCCCATCCTGCCTTTGTAAGAACAGTCCTGCTTTTTAGTTTTCTTTCTCTGCCAGTTTCTGATCCAAGGGCTGTTTCACACGATGTGACAGCAAAAACCAGCCTTGCATTTTCTTTATGGGTCAGCCAGGTATCTTTTGACATGTCTGGTGGGAGTTTGCACGTCAGAAGACATAGCTTCAAGAAGCAGAGTGGACAGAGAGACTGACCCTTTTACTGCATGTTTGCAGACCCTGTAAATGAGCCTTGGATCTTGTAGGAAACAGAGTTCAGTCAGAGAACTTTGCAGCAGTTCTTAAAGGAGCAATGAAACAAATTCCTGAACGTTAGAAACGGCATGAAAGCCATCCAAGCTACAGTTCATCCCTGACACTTTGATGCGTTATCAAGTGCAGACAGAATCTGGTCTGGGCACGCTGCTTCTTTTGTCTGTATTTATGCTTCCTGGAGTAACACCCCACCAGCTTAGATGCCATGTATACTTTTTATATATTGCTAAGAAGAGGGGGAAATTCTCAGCTGGCAAATTTGGTCCTCTGCTTTAAAGTTGCTGCCTTACTGGGCAATAGCCACAACCAGTGTTCCCTCTAAGCTGAGTTAGTGTGAGCTAGCTCACACTAACTCAGCTTAGAGGGAACATTGGCCACAACTGTGGAAATGGGTAAGGGAAAGCTTGCAGATTTTTTTTGTTTCTGCCTGGTAATATGTGCTTGTAATGTCAGGTGAAATTTCTGCACAGGGGTGTATGTTATGGACAGGATACATGTGGTTGTGGAAAGTGAAACAATGGCTCCTAGATAGAAGGGCTGGGCTGTACAGCCTTTTGGTTCTTTCCAAGCTACTGCAAGATGTCAGTCCCTTCCACCTCCTTAATGTAGATTTCACTCCCATCCTCTCTGGATCAATGTTCCCTCTAAGCTGTGGAGTCTTGTGAGCAAAAATTCTACTTTCTGAGCTCCTGGCATTAAAATTGTGAGCGAGCGATTTGGCTACTGCATATGTTAGTCTGCTCTGGAGCCATCCTTCCTGAGCTAAGACAAAAATGGGTGAGCCGGAGGCTAAAAAACTGTGAGCGAGCTCACACTAACTCAGCTTAGAGGGAACACTGTTCTGGATGCCTTTTGGGGTTCAAGAAAGGATAGCTATGTGGGCAAGCATTAGATGTTTCTAATTGCTTCTGGCCCATCTGAAAACACCCACTTCAGCTCTTCCCACTCTAATCTGGAGAGTAACCCTATCTCAGCCAGCCACCAGCCTCTGTCAGTCTTGGGCTCACTGCCTACTCCTGTTTCTTATCTGCAGATATCCTAGTGTGCCTTCTTTTTAAAAAAAGGAAGTTGAAAAGCTGGTGTGCTGGGAGCTCCCCATGCACCAAATTAATTGAAATCAGTCGAGAGAGCAACACTGTTTGCATAATAAAAGATTAATATTCTCAAATATTTTGTGCCTTGTAGGTTTGCATGTCCCTTCCTTCATAAGTTCCAGACACTGACTTAAAGAAGGCTTAAAACTCTCTGGTTAGAATTCAGGCTATTTCCATGATTTTTTTAAAATTGAAGATCTAGGAAGTTGCTTTCTTCAGTTTTTTAGACAATTTTGATCTTATCAAAACGAGTTACTTGCTACTGAGCTTTCTGGCAGCAGGGATGTTTAAGAAACCACATTGTGAAGGCTGGTGCTTAACAGCATAGGACTTACTGAAGGGTTCAAATGCATCAGTCAGTATATCTGATCTCCATAGTTCATGTATGCAGGGTACTTCCAGTCCATACAAGTGCCAGATCATTGCAGGACCAGTATAAACTATCGAGACTGCACACCTGGCTTCCTGTAATGAATCTGGGATATCTTTGGGGAAAGCATGAGTTCATTTTCCTGGAATATTTTGTGTTTTCCTGGCTTGCTGCATTAAAACTCACTCCAAGACTGTAAATGTAAATAGTTGTTGTTTGCCTATACTCTTGAAGAGAGTGACAGACATTTGTCATAACTCATGGCTAAAACTAGAGCCAGTTTGGTGTAGTGGTTAAGTGTGCGGACTCTAATCTGTGAGAACCGGGTTTGATTCCCCACTCCTCCACTTGCAGCTGCTGGATGACTTTGGTCAAGCCATAGTTCTATCAGAGCTGCTCCTGAAAGAGCAGTTTCTGTCAGAGCTCTCTCAGCCCCACCTACGTCACAGGGTGTTTGTTGTGGGGAGGGGAAGGGAAAGGAGTTTGGAAGCCACTCTGAGACTCCGAGTGAAGGATGGGGTATAAATTCAATCTCTTCTTCTCCATCATCATAGTTTGATGTAGCTACAGTACTGCCCCAGTGTTAGGTTCTCTTCCCAATCCCCGTCCCCTTTCTGTAGCACTCTGGAACAACTTTCCCTAGCAATACAGCCCCAAACTACATTTTGCTTCAACTCTTATTCATGCAGTTTATTGGGAGCTGGTCTGTCACTCCATGTTTTGTTCAGGGTACCTGTCAGCCCATTCAGAAAGGCCTATTAATTTATCAGAACAAAATTGTGAACATTAGTGACTCTAATGAAATGTGCACTCTGTGTTTGATTCTACACTGAACAGATCTTCATCCGCAGCACAGATTTTGATCGGACCCTGATGAGTGCTGAGGCCAATCTGGCAGGACTGTACCCCCCAGAAGGTCAACAGGTGTTCAGTCCCAATGTTTCTTGGCAGCCCATCCCTGTCCATACAGTACCTGGTTCTGTGGAGCGGGTGAGTCACTCATAGAGTAACTGCTGGTAGCTCTAATGTGTTGCTTGCATCAGAAAACCTCCCTCTTTAATGCCGCTTTCATCTGTCCTGAATTCTGCTATTCTGCTGTTCTCCCTGCCTCATCTGTTTGGGTATGAGAGGTAGTTCATAGAGCCTTATTTGTTTCACCTGCCTGGTGGAGATCTCACTTAAAAGTAGCAGTCAGTTTGCTTAGGGCAAAGGAACCCATCAGCAAGTCCATTCCACTTGGTAAGTCTTGCTCATGAGTTGGGATCTGTGTTCAAATGGTCCATTGAGCTAACATACATTTTGCCTCTATCCAGCTCCTGAAGTTTCCATTAACCCCCTGCCCCCGTTACGAACTGCTGCAAAATGAAACTCGGCATACACCAGAGTATGTAAATAAAACAGTTCAGAATATGGTAAGTTATGAATTGTGAGGGCTGGTAGCTGAGATGACTATAGTTGTATACAGTTTTTGGGCCATAGAGAGATAGAAAAATGAACTCTGTCGTTGCATGACCCCACAGGAATTCCTGAAGATGGTGGCGCGAGAGACAGGAATCAAGGACATTTCCCTTGAGTCTGTTTGGAGTGTGTATGATACACTATTCTGTGAAGTGAGTTGTCTTTCTCCTTTACTAGTCATTTGCTTTCTAAACTGAAAAACTTAAGTGCTAGCTGAAGTTGCATTTTTGCTGTAGAATAAAGAGTTCCCTCCCCCATTAGAATATTACTTGTCTAACCTCAAGCACTTTCCAGCAGTAGTAGAAAGGGGCACTATTAAAACTCCACAATGACTAAATTGAACAAAGAAATTGCAGCACAGCTTATATTGGCTGCCAAAACTGTGTTAGCCCAACAGTGGAATAAACCAGTAATTCCAACATTAAAACATTGGTTCAACAAAGTGTGGGATGTGATAGTCCAAGATAAAATAGCGATACAACTTGAGCTGGCAGATAACCCTACAAAAAATTTGAATTTTATGGAAAAATGGTTTACCTTTTTTAGTTATATAGAATCAGAACCAAATGAAGTTATTAAGAAACCACCAAGGTATGAAGATTTTGCATTTTATTAAATACAGAACAGTTGTTGAAGTTATAGAAGGATTAGTAGACTGTTATATGCTTGCTTCAAGGTTTAGGTTGATTGTTAATGTTAAAACTGAATTTATAACTTTGTTTATATTTATATGCTTGTATTTGAAAAGTTGTTTGGTTGTTTGGTTGTAAAAATGCTGTTATTTAATAAAAAGAAAGTTACAAAAAAAAAGAAAGGGGCACTATTTTATACACTAAGGATGGTCTCCACTGAAAGCATGCTCAGAATCTCTTCCACTAGTTCCCAGAATTTTGTCATACATGACCAAGAAAAGGAATCTAGGGTGAGGTTATGCAAATAAAAGCAGGCTTGATACCAGGGTTCACAGCGGGATTAACCAGATTTAGCCTCTCTCCAGTGGTGTCTTGCGTAGTGCACCCATTTCCATTCTCCAGTGTATCCGAACATTTCCCGTTCCTAAGCGCTATACTTGAGGACACTGTTGTGGTAAAGACAAAACCTGCCATCTCCCTTGACAATTTTTAACCTAGTTTGAGATGCAGTGTGTGGGAATGCATGTGCATACACACCGGTTCTTGCAGTATAAAATCTACTCTCTCAAGCCAGAATCCACCTATCATACAGATGAGCATTTCCTAGGACACAAAAAATGGAAGCTAGAAGCTACTCTTAGTTTGCGATCACATAAGGGCTTTTCTGTCCATTATTTGTATCCACCAACTGTTAGTCACTATATTTAATAACAATGAATTATTTATTTGAATAATTACAGCAACAGTTTTAGAGGGTTCCCCTCCATATGCCTTGTAGGAAAGAGAAGTGTCAAACTAAGGGAGCTCCTCTTGATTTCCTACCAGCTGACCACAGGAAGAAATCTCGAGACTAAATTTTCTTGTTGTTGCTGCTGAGGCAGCAGATCTAGAACTGTAAATAAACTAACAAGATGTTTAGTTTTCCAAAACTCCTGAAGACTAATTGAACCATCTAAAGGAGTGTAGGCTCCCCAAAATGGCCTTGATTGTAGCCTAATGGAAAAATTGCTTTGAAAACAGTTATGACAGAGAGCAGATTTAAGAGTTTGTTGTGATGTTTTAATTTCTTTCCACTGAACAGGTACAGTCATTATTGTCACAATAAATTACAACTTATCTAAACACCTAGGTGTGCCAGGAAGGTTCCCCTGCCAAATTAGGAAACAGGTACAAGTCCTAGAGTTGCTGTTTTCATCACTATGATTTAGAGGTACAGTCGAGAGGGCAACATCATTGTAAGAGGTCATCAGAAACAATGCAGTTGTCAGTCTATACCCTTCTAAATCTGTTGAAGTCATCTGGCTTAGACAGGTGTAACTGTGTAGGGCTGCACTGCAATTGACATATTCTGATAGCAAAATTGGGGCTTGCAGAACCTGGAATGAGGGTTGATGGGTGCCATCATTAGATTTACTCACTATCGAAGTTTGTTCTTCCTCCTTAGCATACCAAAGATTTGAAAGCAGACTGTTAATGCGTCAGTCTTTGCCCAGACTGTATTTAAGCGAGCTTTCCCTTGTATATTTCTCAGAAAACACACCAATTGCCGCTTCCATCATGGGTGACTCCGAGTGTGATGACTCGGCTGCAACAGCTGAAAGATTTCAGCTTTCAGTTCCTTTTTGGGATCTACAGACGGTTGGAGAAAGCTCGTCTGCAGGGTGGTAAGTGATGGGACAAGGACAGCATCTTGGGTAAGAGACTATATACACTGGTCTACCAAGAAATAAAATCATAATAGTCTGTTTTTTCCCCCCTCAGGGGTCCTCCTCTCTCAAATAAGGAAAAACCTTACTCTCGCTGCAAACACCTCTGCACACCAACACCTTAAAATGCTTGTGTACTCATGTGTAAGTTTTCACCTTGAATTTGTGCTTTTCTTCTCCCCCGTCCTTGGTAAACAAAATCTAGCCATGTCATCTAGCAGTTTCTCCTGTACTGTGGAAGAAGAAAGACCAGTCAGCACTTCTACCCTTTTAGGTTTAAAATCCGAAATAGACTGTGCTTCTTCAGGGGTTTTGTGCAAGTACATGCATGATTCTGCAGAAGTTTTGTGATGCACTCTCAAACACTACCATTGTTACTTCATGTTATCTTTTTGTCAGTGTCCTTATTTGTTCCCTATGCTCCTCCCCACTTATTTTCCTTTTCTACTTGTGAAATAGGGGCCTCACGCTTTCTTTTTCCTAGCATGACACCACTCTTGGGGCCCTGCAGATGGCTCTGGATGTTTACAATGGGAGGCAAGCACCTTATGCTTCATGTCTTATGTTTGAGCTGTACCAAGAGGATGATGGGTAAGGGCCTCAGTAAAGGTAATTTACTTTACTTTGCCGCATGATGGAGTGAGCTCCCATCTCTAGTTCCAGCTCCTGCCAACCTAGCAGTTCGAAAGCAAGAAATTGCAAGTAGATAAATAGGTACCACTTTGGTGGGAAGGTAACAGCGTTCCGTGCGCCTTGGTGTTTAGTCATGCCGGCCACATGACCACGGAAACGTCTTCGGACAGCGCTGGCTCTTCGGCTTTGAAACGGAGATGAGCACCACAACCCTAGAGTCGGATTCGACTGGCTTTCGAGCAAGGGAACCTTTACTTAAAGGTAAATCAAAAGGATTTACCTTCTGTAGTACTCACTTGAAAGTATTGCTGAACATTATCTTTCCTCCATGTATTCATGGGAAATGGAATGAAGCAAAAAGTCTACAAATCCTGAGATTAAAATAGTGTGCTTTTTCTCTCCAGCACTTAGTTGAGATCAGAAATCTCAACAGTATTCTGTAGTCTACAGTTGACACCCTCTAGTGTGACAAGCATGTAAACATAAGCTTTACCCTTGGGAAGATAATTTCTGTTCTCAAGGACAGAGATACACAAATGTGGTATGAAACAATATGTTAACTTGTACTAAGGCACTTACAAGGGTGGAAAGGGACTGGGTGATGGTTCAGGGCTTGTTTTGAAAATGGAACATAACGGAACGCAGCTGAGTAATTATCACCAGCGCCAACTCACCTCAAATTCTTTTATTCCTAGCAATTTTACAGTGGAAATGTACTTTCGGAATGAAAGTGGGCATCAGCCTTATCCACTCCAGTTACCCGGCTGTGAACAGCATTGCCCATTGCTGAAATTCCTGCAACTCACAGACCCGGTTATTGCACAGGACTGGGAACAGGAGTGTCAGACAGCAAGCACTATGAAAGACACAGGTGAGTGGAGGTGCTCTGACCAAACAACCAGGAAGGAACTTGTGTGTGTTTTGGCTGTCTTATTCAAAGTGCTTATCCATTTCACTCTTTGCAGAACTTATTGTGGGTTTGGTTGTCTGCGGATCCATCCTCTTCTTGCTTACTGTCCTGCTCCTGACAGTACTCTTCCGTATGAAGGCAAAACCACCTGGCTACCGGCACGTTTCCAATGAAGGAGAGGAACAACCTTGACAACTGTGCCAGCCCCTCCTGAGGCAGCAGGAAGGAACACTGCAGCCCCCAGGAACAAGATGGGCTTCCTTCGGTGACTGAACATTTCATTCCTTTGTCTTGCTAGTTGCCTCCAAGCCCAAAGGCCCAGACTTGATGTCAGAGCTTCTGTGACTATCAAAACCAGTCTACCTGTCATTTGGATAATGCATTTAAGTACTGGGTGTGGAATACCAGCGTGATTTGAGGTTGCTGTTTGCTAATATGCAACTAGTTTCATCAAGGATACAAACTTACTTTCTGTGAAGCCAATACGTTGCCTGCAGTCTTCAGCACTGGGCAGAAAAGGTCATTTTGACTGAGCATAGCTGTCAGCTGGAATCTGCTGCTCTTCAGAAAACTTTGTTCACTCTACTAGTTGCCATGTGCACCTCTCTTCCGAACTGTGGGAAAGGGGCCTGAAGCTAAACCAGCAATAACTGGCTTCTCCAGCCCAGTCAGTAGCTGAGAATCAGAAAGCTGCCACCCTTGTAAAATGAAGTAATTTGTTTGAGCACTTTGCTCTGAGGAATTTGATCCCTGTACAGGGAGACGGTTGGGCCTGAACCAAAAAGTTCCCCTCTCCCTACAGCCTACAGAAAATAAATAGGTTTCTCAGACACACTTTTCATTTGCAAAGAATGTCCTAATCAGCTACAGATATTGAGTAAGACTGGAATACAGCATACTTCCTCTCTCTGCTGACACTGCCTTTGAGCCGGATTATCATTTTTAAAAAGCAGTGGAGATCTCGGCGAAATGAAGCTTATGCCGTGGGACCAAAATACTTACTGCAGTTGAGGCCTAGCTGGAGGCTCTTCAGAGCCATTCTCTCACATACTTGGCATCGTGCAAATATCCCGGAGCAGCACACACCAAAAAGAACTCTGGATCTTTAAAAACAAGCTTTTAGTTATTGTGGTTACAGAAGAACATTCACACACAGGGCTGTGTCTAATTAAACCAGAACTGCAGTGATAAATCTGTCACCCCTCAGGGTGCTTATAGAGCTCCTCTCTGACAACCCTAACCCCCCTGACAGGTTAACTAGAGGTTTACCATAAAGCTAAAATCTAGTAGCAGAATGATTTGTCTCAGACTGCATACTCTCAGTCCTCACTGATACCATTAAAAGCAAATACCATAGGATAATCCTCAGATGTTTTAGATCAAACAAATTAGTGTCCCATGCTGGTCAATACCTAAGATTCAGCTGCCTCAGGCTCTATTAATGTCAACACCACAAAGGTAATTCTACCCCTAGGCTCTGTGAGTTTCTTTTCATGTTCTGAAAGAAACACAATAACAGCCTCTGAAGTCGAACACAGAGAAGCACTGCCAAGTATATTTTATCCTACATAATGTCACATAGGAGGAAAACCTCCACATTTTATACCACATGCAACATAAGAATTTACTTTGCACCAAGTATACAGATTGGGTAGCTGCTGTGCCCATTAATAGCTTTAATGAAATAATAATTATTGTATGGCAGTGTGTATGGTATAGTCAGGAGATCCTAAGATTGTCTGGCAGCCAAAACTTCTAGCTTTTTTAGCATTATGCACCACTAGGTGGTGAGCTAGACTCATTTTAAGACAAAAGACATTTCAGAAGTGGTTGGCCATTGCCTGCCTCTGCATCACGCCCCTGGTATTCCTTGGAGGTCGCCCATCCAAATACTAGCCAGAGCAGACCCTGCTTAGCTTCCAAGATCTGAGCTACCTTTAATGAAATAACCTCTTATGCCATGATATACATGCTTCCACCCCCCAATACCAGGCATCTCCAGGTAGGAGAAGTGTTACATCTACTTTGCTTTACACCTGCAATATAAATATCACAAAATGGATAGGTCTAGATCACTCCAAACATAGATACCGTACCATACACATTTCTAGTGTGCAAAAAATAAAGGTAGCTTAAATTGGGAGAAATTGTGCCCTGCTTCATCTGTGCTAGCTCAGTCTTCTGTTAGCTGGTCCAAGTCATATAATGTGGGGTAAAGTACCCCTACACATGCACAGAGCTCCTTCACCACTGAAACTCAAAAGGGTGGCTAGCAAAGTTATTAAAGCATAATATTTCATAGCTAGAGCTCACTCTGTCAGCAACTAATTAAATCCTCAGTCAGTGAGATCCATTTGCTCTGAGAATCCATTTCACAACTGACTGTGTCAGTCTCTTTAATGTGCTATGAAACTCCTTTTTGCTATACCAGACTCTACATGATACCCCACTGAAATCTTCCACTACTGAACTATGGTATATCTACGTTCCCCAAGTACTCACAAGACTCCTGGAAACTTCCACAGAAGGCCAAATCTTTTTTTTCCCAGAGTTCTTTTTCCCTCCTCCCAGATAATACCATCCAGGGCTACATGTGGAGCAAAGCACAATCTAGGAATCTGTTCCAAACCTAGGACTGAACCCAGAATGCATCATATCTCTTTTCCCTCCAAAAACAAGTTCATTTTAGCAACTTGCTTCTTCCTTCCAGCCTTGGCAGGTGAACGTCTAAGGAAGGGCAGGAGCTGCTTTTTCAATTGTCTCTTCTGTTCACCTTCAGTGACAAAGGGAAGAAGGAAGCTCTGCTGAAATAGACTAGCTGGTGAGAGAGGAGTAAGGATTCTTGGAACAGCCTTCCCCACCACTTAAGCAGCTGGAGGTAGCCCACTTTCCAGGTATCCACTGTTCCTGGTGAGGCTTCATCACCATGAGTATAATGCACAACAGATGAACCCCTGTCTCCTCACTGCATTATCCACCTCCCTAATCATAGTCTTTCCTGATGCTACTATCTTCTCTACAGGCCCCGCTTTCTGTACAGTCATTCTTTACTGATGAGACTCTGACTACAGACATTTATTTCCCTTAACTGCTCCACAAAAGATTACTGACCACACACTACATTTCTGCCAGAAAGTACGTACAATCAGCTTATAGTTATTCTAATCTGTGTCTTTTCCCCTTGTTCACCCAACAGCATCACATAGCTCCTGCAGAACAGAATATAGGCACAGAGCCAAAGGTGGCCTAAGAGGATAGCTGTAAGAAAGAGATGAGTTACTAATATCCTAATTTTTTAGAAGCTCTGTAGCAAATCAAGGGGGTTGATTATTAAAGGTGTGTACTTTGGTACATGGAAGAAATTGGTGTCTATGATTTGTATCTCTGAATGATGTTTCTGTAAATCACTTTGGTCTCTTTCTCTTTCTTTTTTGTTACAAAAAAGTAGAACTGGACTCATGCTCTTTCTTCTGCACCACAAGATAGGATACACAATCTATTGGTCAATCGTCTTTTTGCAAAGTTGAGGCTAATGGGGATCTTGATGAGAGGACTGGTTGTTGTTTTTTCAAAAATCAAACTTTAAAATGTTTTTAAACTGGTATACTCTTACATTGGAGGAGAGAACAGGAATGGAACCTCTTTACCAGCTGCACCCTGTTGCTAAGGATTTGTACAGAATTTGTACCTTCTTGTACAGGTACCTGCGAAGCTTAGGCATGGCCAGTGGTGTAAGCCTTTTGGCCCGTAATCCAGAGCTCATAGCCCATGCCTTTGGACAAGCCAGCAAACGAGTCCAGGACCAGACCAAGATGTCCGTTTTTTGTTTTATTGCTAATTGGCTTATGTATTTAGTGGGCTTCCGTTGTAAGCTACCCTGGGTCCCCTTCAGGAAGGACATCCTCTTTCCATCCCTGCCCAGTTGACCCAATGCCATTTCCACTTAGCTCTTGGAAAGAAAAGCCAAGCTTTGAAACCTGGCTCCTGAAAGCAGAACAAGTTCCTACAAGTTGTACCACTGAGTCGAAGTCATAGATCTTAGATTGGGGGGGGGGGATAAAATTCACAGCTCTCTCAAGTCTGTAAGTAAGGTCAGCTCAAGTCTGAAAAATCAGTCTCGCTGGTATAACACACTTTGTTCTATACAAAACTTTATTTAACATCTTGATATCGTGAGCATAAAGTGAATAAGGGAACAAATATGAAATTCCCACTAGCAGCAGCTGCACCTTGGCTTCTGCCAGTCACGTCAAGTTGGCTCTGCATTTGTACACCCACACCCCAGGCAGTTTTGTAACAAGAGCTAACACAGCAAGCAAATGCCTTTATGTTAACAACAGACTCAAGCTATGCCTGCTTGGGGAAGAGTGCTGGGAAAGAATCCCCATGTTCCTCTTTGAAGAAGAAAAAAAATCTTGCATTTTGAGCCCAGCATAGGAGGGAAAAACACCCAGGTTGCTCAATATACTGAACAGAAGACAGCCAGTTCTGAAATACAAACTGCACTGTCAGCATAGCCTAGCTCATTGCATTATACTGTATCCCAGATGACTAAAACTCAGCAGCTATGCACAGAAGCAGCAGCACCAAAAAGCACATGACTATGCTCCCATTCCTTGCTGCTGGTTAAAAAAAACAAAACCAGACTTCTTGCTTTTCCAACACAGGAACATCCATCAGAACCAGGGAAGATGGACTAACGGGCTCATTCCCTCTGAAGCCACTGTTGTCCAGCATGGACTTTGCTCTAATCAGCACTATAGATGCTTGCCTAGTCAGTCCTCTGAATCCTTTCCTTTCCGTTTCTTCTGTAATGTGCATTCCTTGCTCTTTGTTTTGCTTCCCTCAAAATCCAGACTGAGTAGTTTAGTTCTGAGTCTACTTGTTCCAGTGCTTGATTGCCTCTGTCCTCTTTGCCGAGATAAACTCCTGCCTCCAATTCCCTGCTCTGTCATAGCTTGCATGAGACACTCTTGTTTTCTGGTTACCATTTCCTCCCGGCTCCAGATCAGAATATTAAAACCTGGCAAGAAAACAGTCACTAAGAATTCTGTTTTGGGCGCAGTATGCATACAGTAAAAAAGTACATTTTGAGATGGTCTGCCATACCTAAATACTTCTAAGGCATTAATGAAATGGTTCACTTTAGATGCCAGTTCCACAAAGTCCCATTACAGGAACAGTATTCAAAGGAATACTCTATTTTTGGAATGTGTGAGAAAGTCATCTTTCCAAATACTGGACATAGAAAGCTGTACTTCTAATAAAAGTTTATACCACTGTGCTTGATTAGACTTCTGTGTTGCCAGTTTCCCTATATGAAAGGGAAGGCCTTCTAGGATACAAAACAGGGAGAACTATATAGGAGCTAGTAAGAACTTGTCAATTATGGTATGATCAGCAACATAATGAACAGTGTCACAACTGGTACAATACTGATATTGCTAAAGCACTTATTAGTCCAGGTGCTGATTCCACTTGGAAGTCTGTAAAGACTGTTAAATCTTATACCTCCCTCTTCTGCATTAAGAGGCCAGCAGATGGCAGCAGTACCTTCTATTAAGAGACATATTGTTCCTACCTACCACAAGTTGAAGAATACTTAACTTTTTCCCCACCAAACAAAGAGGAGAGAAAAGGTTATCGTGGTTTTTTATTTGGGGGTGTGTGTGTATTTTTGCATTTTTGTGTCTGTGCATGTATATGTATGTGTGCCTTGCCTGGAAGTCACGGGGACCTCTGGCGACTCCTACTGGGGCATGGAGGATGTTCAGAGAAGTGGCTTGATAGCCTGCCTCTGCCTCCTCACCGTGATATTCTTTGGCCCTGGTATATTTGCCAGGGTCAACCCTGCTTAGCTTCCGAGATCTGACCAGATTGGGCTTGCCTGGGCTAACCAGGTCAGGGCAAAAGGTTATCATGTTTAAGGTCAACAGATCTTGCCTTTCTTTTTTTAAAGAGTTAGAAGACTTTTCACGAACATAACCTCTCTCTCACCCCTCCTGTAAGGATACAGCTGTCCATGATCACCAGCTCCACAGTGGAGCCAGAATCTCTCCTACCTCAGCATATGGGAGGACAGTCAGTACACACAGGAACTGAACGTAATGAAGACCATTCAGAAAGCTGAACAAGGGAGCCAATATGACAAGGAGCTACAAGTTTCAACCGGTTCTTAACCACGCTGTCGTCAAGTGCAAGATCAAACCGATCACTTACCCATTCCAGAGGCAAGTGTGTCTCCCATAGGGTTAAACTTACTGAGCTGCAAATATAAAACACAAGCATGAATTGTAGCCTTGTCCACTGTTCATTTAACACGATCAATCAAAATCAGGAACTAGAACATTCTGGATAAACCCAACAATGAAAAGGCCAGCATTCAATGAGGAAGAGTTCTGCACAAATCAGCACAGCTTCAAATAGGGAGGCCCTTTACACTCCCATATTCAGCATATGCCTCTTTTCATTATGAGTAAAATCTGGTGACCACAGTAAAGTTTATGCAGGAGAATCTGCCTGAGTACTTAGTGATTGGCAACCACAAACTTTAAAGAAATCTGGCCTGAGAGCCCGAAGCTGTTGCAGCAAGATGTAAATACTTTCCAAAACCCCCAAAACTTTCCAACACATCATACAACTGGCACCCCCCAAAAAAAGATGGAACATTCTCCTATGAACTGCACCAGGGTAGTCAGATATGGTACAAATATATATATATATATCCAGGCTTTGGTTTTGTTAAAAAGATAGTTTCCATGAGTGAGGTTCAAAATTAAGCACTGAAAGCAGGATTCTCTCAACAGTTTTTCCCCCTGTAGCTTACATACAAACAAAAGAACATGAACTTTGTTTAATGAGGCAACACAATTTTAGAGGTGCACAGCGCTATCACCACCTCTGAAGTTTATAAAGTTGCAGACACATCTCAGGAGGAAGGGAATGAGGCATAGGGAACCAAAGACGTCCAGCTGTCCTGAACCAGGGCCTTTTCAGTCCTGGCCCCAACCTGGTGGAACTCTGCCGAACACCATCAGGGCCCTGTGGGATCTGATCCAATCAGCATTAGAGGTCAAATCAGGAAGAGGAAACTGAAGAGCTCCATATAATGCATTTACTGACCCCTCAACAATTCTAGATTAGCATCCTATAAAATCCTAGTATGGCAGTCTCTCCTCAAGGAGAACAGAAGTGGACACACTTTTAATCATACAGAAAATCATTATTGCTACCATGCTTGAAAGTTATTGTCCTTTTCCTGTCCCCTATTCCCAGACCCTCAGACGAAATACTAGGTTCACGTAATTTGAAACCAGTCCTCCACACTCACCGAAATAATGCCAGATGCATTTGGATCATACAGCTGGCACACCATTTCCCCACTGTCTCCATCAAATATATCGACAGTTCGCAGCTCATCTACTGTGTATCCTGGGAACTTAGGATCTGGATAACGACCAGCTACAATGAGGTTATAACGAGGATGCCATGTTGCCTAAATCCAATACAAAGTTAAGCAACATTAATGCTGAAGTTGGTATGAATGAATTAGAGAGAATTAAGAGAAAAACAGGATGCGTTTTATCAAGAATTGGCACTATGTGGGTCTACAAGCCTACAGGTTCAGCTTCTACTCCACTCATGAAATCAAGTTGCTAAAGTCATTAATGGCTTTCAAGACACCATAGAACAGCAACACAATTGAATAGGAACATAATTCCCACAGGTTCTTAACAGCCTACACTTGCCTATAAACCTATTAGTAAGGCCAGTTTTCACACCCTAGACTTACTTGTAGAAACAAGATGCATTTACTCAGGTTTCCTTCTATCCAATCCTACCTCTAGTTTTTGTCTACTTTTGCATTCACGTTAGTCTTGTTGCCACACAGACTCCCTAAATGCCAGCCAGAGAGTGAATATGGCTCAATTTTAGATCCATAAGTGATAACAGAAGAAAACAACACAACCTAGAACAATTTACCATTAAGACCTGTACGTGCACGTTTTTCCTGCCTGCCAATCAGATTCTCAATACATTTCTATACAGGAGCTGCAGAATGCTTATCTTCACCTTCTAACATCATGAAGTAGTGAATGACTCCTAGTTAACATGCTTATTTCTTCACCTTAATAGGTGTGAGATGCTGAAATTGCCGATGAGGATGTGGAATCAGATGCTGTGGTTTGGACCAATCAAAAGAGGAATAAACCCGGATTTCACTGTGCTGGTCAGTAGTCAGTAGCTTAGAACCATCTGTTGGGCTGAAATAAGCTGAAGAGGAGTAGAACAGAAACAATGTAAAATCATACTGCTGTGGTCACAAACTGCATTTTCAGGTTACAAACGGCATTCGTAAGAAAATGAATTGATTTTTGAATTTTCGCTAATCTTAGTCATGAAGCTGGACTCTGGAGAAGCAGAATATGAATTCCATAAACAAATAAAAGCATTATGAAATTGTTATTAAATAAAATAAAGTATTAACAAAACACTGTAATTGCTTGAGGAGGCAAGAGTAATGGATAAATTTGTCATAAAAAGCACAAGTCATGGACATAACTAGAAACAGCATGCAACAACCAACCATGCTAAATTCATACTAGAAATCAACAGATATGTATATATAAACCTATAAATACCGCAGATTTCAATGAGATTAGATGTATCTAATAATTAGTTTCTTTGAGCTTCACTGATCTTAACTCAAATCTATACTTCAAATCTTAACTGATCTTAACTCAAATCTATACTTCTGGTTACTTTGCCACCTGCAAACATGAAGTGTCTCAATTCTTTTTTAAGTCAGCAGATATCACTCCAGGAACTACAGAGAATGTAAAATCTTTTTGTATTGGTAAGTTCTGAAACAATAAATTGTGGATACAACATAGACAGGAAAAAACCTGGTAAGTCTTGTATACAGCATATGTAGTTATTCATATTACTTAAACAGTCCTGGCTAGGGCTTTCACTGAACCTACTACCACAGGACACTTCTCAGTATCATTTGCAACACACAGCACTTTCATGACCGGCTGATCTATTTCTATATAGTTGTGATTTGTAAGCATGGAAGGACTGTCTGCTTGAGAAGACAAGGACATGATAGTACTTGCTCCTTGTTTAACTTTCAACCTATTCCACAGCATCTCTGAGTACAAGTTTTTTCAGCAACACCAAGCCTGCAAGTAATAAGAGCTCTTTCCTTTGTGACTCGTATGAGGAGGAGAATGTAGATCTGGCTTGTTTGATCAAATCCTGGCTGGAATACATAAGCAGACTATTTTATCACAACATGTGTCAGCTACATATACATTTTGGTCTACAGCAGGAGGCAACAAGCAAGAAAGTTGTACTCTGCAAATGGAAACCCTTCAATCTGAAAAATGCTTCATAAAATCCAATCCACTGGATTCGTTCTTCGGCGCAACCGAGTGCAGTGTGACCACCACCACCCACTCCAACCAAGCAGTTAATAGGTCAGGACTACAAGTGGTCAGAACATTATCTGTTCAAGGCATGGTTAGTTTTAACCTTTCCAACTGCATGTGAGTAGTGGTCCCATCAGGGTTGTCCATATTCAAAGACTTGTGGACAGAACAGGTTTCAAGAATGCTCTAGGGATCTAGGAAGTCACAGTAGTGGTTCAGATGACTCCTTCACGGGAGCCCAACATCAGGGGCTGATGGGGCAATTCAGAGGATCACTTCCCATCACCCTCTCCCCACTTTGTCCCATCTAACTCTTATTTCAGGGAGCCTGAAGATATGAAAGTGTTCAGACACCTGAAATGACATTGCTGAAAAACCTGTAAGCAAACAGGCCAGTCCATTTTCAGGTAGCACCTGTGAGGTGGCAAAGTATCCTGTTTCTCCACTACCACCAAATCAGGTTCAGTAGAGCTTTTCAATGTTATTCATGGTCTTTAAGCATCTATCCTGTTTCTCCACTACCACCAAATCAGCATAATCTGGTTCAGTAGAGCTTTTCAGTGTTATTCATGGTCTTTAAGCATTCAGATTCAATCCTTTGGAAGAAGAAACATCAGTGATAGTTTTACAAGATTCTTTGCTGGTCAACTCTTTAATTTCCAGTCTAAGAGCCACTAGGACAAATACAATTCCTATAACAGCAGTATCAGAAGCACCCATTCGCAGTGGTTCCTTGAATAATTTTGGATTGCTCTTCTTGACTGATGCAAACAAAGTGATTAAAGTTAGGGAGGCCACTACCTGCAAATGGATTTTACAGCTTAAGTCCTGCCAGAGGGAACTAAGCACACCTTCAGCAAAATTAATACCTCCTTGCTAGAGGACAGCTTCTCTCAGGAACTCAACGTTCTGGTTATGTCACTGCTGAAAAACCCTCTTTGGATAACTAACGGTTGGCTAACAACCATTTGGACTCCAACCACCCCCTTCTTGGTTTGGGGTTTGCTTTTGTTTTTTTGCAAAGGTGACTGAGCATCTGGTGACACAGCAACTTCAACATGAATGGCATCTTCAAAATGAATGACATCTTTCCTTCACCCATTTTTAATCTGGCTTTAGGGCAGAGACAACTTTAGTCACGGTTGTGAATGATCTGAATTTGCAGACTGATAGAAATACATCATTTGCTTAGGTATTTCTTCAGCTTTTTGTTATAGTTAACTATTACCCATGTTGAATCATTTAAAGCTTAATGCTGAGGTTTCAGGAATTGCACTCCAATAGCTCTGATCTTTTCTGTTGAACAGGACATAAAGGTCTGGATCCTAACTGTATATTCCACTGGCAAATTTTTACTGATTTCCCCATTCACTCACTCTCACATTGTCCCCATACTATTCCCCAGAGACATGATTTCAGGGCGCACAGCACCCTGTGTGTGGGGGTGGGGGTGGAAGTCCTGAATTAGTGCTTGGATGTAGTGGCTGGGAGGGGGGCTAAAAAATTAAATCTCAACAAGGAAGAAGTGATGCTAGCCAAAAAGGCTGATGTTGTGGAAGTAACTGAATTATTGGTTTGGACAGGGTCAGGTTGACCCTGTCTAACTAGGTGAAGAATACGGGAGTACTGTCAAGCAGGTTGGAGTTGTACCCAGGACTGCTTTCTTTCATCTATACTGAATTCATAAATGGCCCTCCTTTCTAAACTTAAGAGGACTTACCCATGCTAATCATTACATCTTTACCTTCCAGAATGGATTTCTGTAATGCACTCTATGTGGGGCAAACTGTTCAGAAATTCAACTGGTACAACGTGCACTTTTTGTCTGGTGCTGAGTGTCATAAACACACACTTATACACATACACTTACATGCACACCATCTTAAAAAGCTCCCAAATTGCTTCTTGGCTCAATTCGCAGTCTTAGTTCTTACCTTCAGAACCTACAGCCCACCAATCTGAGGAATAACCTCTCCCCTTATATGAACCCAGCTGCCAACTCAGGTCAGACTAACAGGCTTTCTGGCTGTGCCCTCCTTTTGACAGCTGCAGACATCTCCTGCAAGAGCACAGACCTCACCTTTCCAGTCTTACAAAGCAGGCTACCAGAGGATGTACAGAAGGCACATTAACTGCTGACAGTTTTATGGGCCCTGCAAAATTGTCCTCTCTTCTGGGGTTGATTTCTGATTGATATTCTTTCCTCAATTTGCTAATTTTTTTATTCAGCATTTTTGAGATAATTATTTTAATGTTTTTATCTCTGACAGAGAGCTGCCTTGAGCCCTGGTTAAAGGAAAGTATACATTTTAAATAAGGATATCTAATGAAAGTGGTGGAAAAGAATAGACACAGACTAAGAGATAAAACAAGATGGGTAGCCACGTTAGTCTGTCTGTAGCAGTAGAAAAGAGCCAGTAGCACCTTAACGACTAACAATTTTTGTGGCAGGGCATGAGCTTTTCTGAGTCACTGCTCACTTCTTCACTTAGTCCTTAAGGTACTGCTAGACTAAGAGATGCTAGGATCACACACACCCAACCAAGAATGGATAGGTTGGAATGGCAAAACGTGGCTCCACTTTGCTGTCTTACCTGCATTGACAGCTTTGTCATGAGGAAGTGCATGAAGGTAACATGACTTGTCTTTTATGTTCCTCAGATCCCAGATTTTGACAGTTTGATCTACAGAGGCTGTAGCCAAAAGCCAATCACAGCTAGGATTAAACTCCACATGAGTTACTTTCCTTTTGTGCAGTTTCAGGTTCCATATCTACAGTACATATAACAGAAAGCAAACTGAATGACAGCGACAGAGCAAGAGAGTCAGTCCAAGACAAAACTCTAGTATATGGAATTTATATATACAGCATGCCTTTCCTGGGGTTGTGTCTCTCCCCCCCCCCCTTAGGAGTATAGGCACATGGACAGTAGTGCATGCCTGACTCTATGAACCATGGAGAAGTTGCTAATAAATCCAGTACTAGTAAGTTTAAAGTACAAAAATTATCCTAAAAAGGCTGTACTTCTAGGCTTCCTTCCTAGCCTCTGTAGTAGAAAATAGCATCTGTACTAGAAAACAGCATCTCATGTTACCACAGAGGCAGCTGCCTGTGTTCCAGTCCCACCATGCACTAGAAACATCTAGATGAGGAACCACATAGGTGGGTTAAATGACACAGTTCCTTTCCTGCGTGATTGCTGCCTAGCAGGATGAAGATGTGTATGGGACCCTCCATCTAGGGGGTGGCTACAGAGGTGATTCCCTCACCAAAGCAGTAACCTATTAATTGAACCCACCACAGTGAAGTAATCTAACAACATACATAAAAGCAGGTCAGTGCAGCACCCCCATGAAATGTGAAAAATACCAAAACCATTTAAGTATGTGTTACCAAAGGCATACTAACCTTTTCACCCTCTGTACTGAGTAGGACGACGTTGCCCATATTATCACCTGTCACCACAGCCCGGCAATTTGCAGATACATCTACACTGCAGTACCAGAAACTTTAAAACAAAAGAGAGAGAAACCGAGAGAGGCACAAGCTCAGAATTTTTGTCCCATAAAACAACAAACAGGACTGCAAGAACAGGACAAACCATAGGACTGCAAGAACAACATCCTCATTTCCAAGATCTAAATGTGTAACAGAATCACAGTAAATTAACAGGATTATGTGGAACTCAGATGATACTCTGATGTGGAATCAGTTTCAGACGATGTGCTGTGAACAGGTAATAAATTCAACAAACACAAATAAAGTTCAATAAACAAGTCCAGCAAGTCAAAAGGCCCCATTATCCATGCATACAGACAACCTGGAAAGACAAATCCTATTCTCGAATCATTGACAGCATGTGTAACAAGGGTTTAAAATGACTATTAGAAATTAAATCCCACCCTCCAAAAGGGGATCAGAGATTAAATATAGCAGTCAAATTCCTTTGAAGTCTGAGGGCTGTGTGGCATACAAGTTTGTTGCCTGCTGCTTGTTTATCTCAGTGCATCACCACACTGTTTGAGAAGGAGGCACAAATCTAAACATGCAGTGAACAGCCATTCCATATGGCCAATAACGGCACATAGTCCAGCCCATATGGCCATGCACTTCCCTCTTGAAGCACTAGTGTTCAACCAGAACACATGCAGCCAATAAATTGGTCAGCAACATAAAGAATGAATCAGTTCAAGACAATATATTTAAATGTATTTGTTTTAGTTAGACAGAACTCCAGAAGCGATTTTATTTACTCTTCTTCCCATGCCACATATACCAATACAGCAACACTATTTATGCTTCTTCTTGAAATGTTTTTGCCATCACCAATATCTGCTCTATAGATCATCCATGGTGTGGTGTATGAGTAGACAGACGACCAGAGGAGTTTATCATTTTCCCATTCTCCTCCCCTGTATGCTTTCAAGTAAAATGGCACTCAAATGATTATGCCAACAATATACTGAACTACTTTGTTTGCAGACAGCAGTGATTCAAACTGCCTGAATGACTTCTTGATAGGTTAGATTTGAAGGCATCATCAAGTTATCAAAAGGTTCAGTTATGAAGCTGCCCTTCTAACTCCTCACCAAGCATCATGATATTCATGGCCAGACTAAGGTGCAAAGACCACATGCATTGCTTGGCCCTCAAGATACCACAGAACAAGAGTGCCATTACCTTCATACCTACAAGAACATATCCAGGACTTTTCTGGAATGCACAAGAACAGAGGAGATACATTCAGGTTACTGAAGAAAAAGCACTTGGTACATCCTGGCAGAGATATGCTGAGTTCATGGAGACTCCAGATGCATCCACACTTATGCACTTGCTACTGGGCTAATTAGCCCTGTATTTGATCTACTACAGGTTCTGTAGTAATTAGTTAGCTAACTTCTCTTTGTATTTAAATTCCTTCAGAACTACTTTGAACAAATGCTGGGAAGTTATAAAATACCCCCTTTTTAAAACAAAAAACACCACTGGATAATACAATGAAAAGGGGGGGAGGACGAGGAGAAGAGGAGGAGGAAGAGGAGGAGGAGGAGGAGATTGGATTTATACCCCGCCCTTCACTTGGAGTCTCAGAGCGGCTTACAAACTCCTTTCCCTTCCCCTCCCCACAACAGATACCCTGTGAGGTGGGTGGGGCTGAGAGAACTCTGACACAAACTGCTCTTTTTCAAGGACAGCTGTGCCAGAGCTTGTGACTGACCCAAGGTCACATCAGCAGGTGCAAGTGGAGGAGTGGGGAATCAAACCCGTTCTCCCAGATTAGAGTCCACACACTTAACCACTACACCAAACTGGCTCTCTGGATAATGTAAACTGGTAAATGTTCTAACTGCTTCCCACACCCCACTCCATGGAACCATTTGCACTGGGGTTTGCTAGTCTCTCTCTTGGTGGGGGGTATGTGTGTATGAGAAGAATCGAAGAACTACCAGTTTCTAGTACAATAATTTTGGAACACACAAGAATGCTGTAGGACTACAATAATTTTAAGGACTACTTACAGAACTGCAGGTTTCAAACCATGACACAAAACCTGTCTCTCAACAATAGAACTAAGTATTCCCAGATATCCATACAACATGCAAATATTCTGTGCTTTTAGGGTCAACCTGGGCAATGTCCCAAACATTACGAAGTTCCTTCCAGTTGTACTAAACTTCCTCTAGTTCAGAATACAGGATGTGAATGTGACAGCCACACCTGGATCTGCCTTCCCGGCCTCAGAGAACAAGGACAAAACAAGCAGCATTCCATGCTGAAGTGTACATTTACCCTGTCCAGCATCTTTCTAAGGTGGTATTCATTTCACAGTTTTCCTGCAGCTGCTCTAGAGCATGATATCTGCTTTTTTCCAATTTACCTTGAGAGCAAGACAGGTGCTTTTTAGGGAAAAGTATTTAGTGGAACATGGCACAGCAGTAATTTCATTCCATTCTAACAATCAACGCCTAACATGTCTGTACTGAATCAACACAAGGCAGTCATACAACAGAGAACCAATTCACATGTTACATATTTCCCATTACATAAATATTAATACCCATGTCTAAAAAGATGTGTAAAACATGTAAAACAGTTGGCCAAGCATGTCTATTTGCTTCTGACACCGTTCTGAATGAATATCTCTAACAGGGCAACAACAGAAAACCCCTATATACTTCTTATGTCTGTGTTGCCTTCTAAATAACAGAACAAGGCAGAGATGGATATAAGCGGATTGCATCTTACTCCCAGTCGTCGGTACTGGTGAAGACCCGGATTGTATTCCCATTAAAATCCTGGAGGACAGTAGTTCCAGCAACTGATGATGTGTACAGCTCACTAGGATTAAAAGGGTTAAACTTCATTCCTGTGATGGACCCTCCAGCTCCCATCTACAACGAAGGGGATGAATAAAACAGAAATCCACTCAGTGAAGGAGGAAAGTTCCCTCTGCTTATACCAGCACCAACACAGAGCTCAACTTCTACAACAGGCTGCATTTATTTCTACATAACAGCAACCAGGCTAATCAAAAATCCTTACAAATGGAAAGGGTTTTGGTACTTCCAAGCAACTGCTACACAAAGTTACTGTCATGGTTAAAAGTAATCCTGCCAAGCTACATGTAGAGTAATGTTAAATACTGTTAAGTACTGAGTATACCATTATCTGGGACTGGGGAGTCATCTATACAACCTTTTCATAATAGCTGGTCTCTGGGTGAGTCATCAAAACTGCATCATGGCTGAGGGAACTTGAATTGTTTTATGGTATTTTTTATGAACTTGTATACAGATTAGACATGTATTTTGTTTTGCCTCTGTCAGGGTAAGATGACAGGACAAAAGTCTGAGCAACAAAAAATGAAAAATACTGAAGCTTGAAGCAAGTACAGTCACAGAGAAATATCAATCCAAATAATAATTGCAGCAAAAGGTATTTTCAAGAGGGACTATGAATCTCCAGACTACTAGTCTTCATCACTATTTTAAGTGTTCAAGCTCTAGCAAATCGGGCAGCAACACACAGTTATTTAGTCCACAGAGGCACCCAACTGTAATTTGTCAAGGTGGTGTTTTTCTTTTAAGTCTGTGCAGGTCAAAAGAACAATTGACTATATCACTAGGAGCAGGGACTTCATTCCACTCAGTAAAGTGCTTTCTCATCTGAAAGGGGGCAAAGAGCAAACTCAAAAAATAAATAAAAGATTTCCCCGTGTCTTACAGATTTCCCTCCATCCTTCTTCCTAATCCTCCCCTTTGTATAGAAAGTAGATCACCTTCAACACACCCTATTCTGTTAACATATACCACATGCTGACACTGCAGTCCACCTTCATAATAACTTACCCCTTTTATGAGGCAGGTTTTATTGAGCACTTCATAGTCCCACAGGATGATATCTCCACCTTTGGAGCCCACAGCAACTGTGCTGGGATGCGCTGGATGCCACTCCAAACATGTAACTCTCCTATCAAAGGGACTTGCAGTTCTGAACAAGCGGTATTGCTTGAGGGAACGTATAAAATGCATCTGGAGACACTGCTGCAGAGACAATGAGAAAAGGGGAATGCAGACCATGCAATTAAAAAGTGTTCTGCCTGTAACAGTCTTCCACCTTTCTGCACGGCTGATAGAGGAGACTGTGACTCAAACTACACTCAGACACATGAAATATGTATGCTTCTCTAATGTTTTGTTCTTCTTTCATCCAAAGCAACTGAGTATGTTGCAAATTTCAGTAAAGCAACAGCAAAATAAGTGGAGCATTAAACCCTCTTCTGAATGATTTGCCCATTCAAAGTTGTTGTGGCAATCTGCTTTCTCCTCCCCAAGAAGGAGATGGAGAGAAGACAGAAGTTCTCATACCTTTTCCTCAACAGGGAGAACACAGCTGTAGGAAGATAAATGGCTGGGCAGGGGAGGGCTAAAACAGCCACTCCATCACTGAAACTCATACATCCAGAGACTATTCACAATAAAAAAGAAAATTTTGACACGTGATTATACTGCGTAGTTTGGCCTTATGGGGCCAGGATAAATGAACTGATATAATCCCAAACTCTCAGAAAAGTTGACAATAGTAGAGAATCTGTACTCTCTGCTTGTTCCGTGTAGAATGTCCCAAAACGAAAACATTCTGAATGAAAAGGAGGCTGTGGGGAGCTTAGGTGGCAAGAAGAATCCCTTACCTTCTTGAGCTGTACCCCAACAGAGGAACCCAGCACATTCTGGTAGACATAATGGACAATGCTCTTCTGCATCTCTCGCTGATGAAAAGGCACTCCAGTATTTCTGATTATGGAGGCATGGAAAGTTTGACCTGCCAGACAATAAAAAAGACATTTAACATTTGCTTATGTGTTCACTTAGACCACATCTGCTCTGCTTCAGTGGAAGCAACAAGAACATAGGCCTTTTTCAATACCTGTAATGTGAATTCAGCAAGCATGGTGGAGCACCGAGTCAAGTTAAAAGGTTAGTTGTTGTAGATTTTCCGGCTGTATGGCCATGGACTTGGCACTGTAGTACCTGACGTTTGGCCAGCAAGTTAAAAGGTGTTTTTGACCTTTAAGGTCTTGAGCAGTCTGGGACCAACGTATTTGTGGGACCGGCTCCTCCGGTATACCCTCAGGAGAGCACTATGCTCTTCACAGAACAATTTGCTGGTGGTCCCTGGCCCTATAGTCATCCAGCTGTCCTCAACCAGGGCCAGAGCCTTCTCAGCCCTGGCCCCAACCTGGTGGAACTCTCTGCCAAATGACATCAGGGCCCTGTGGGACCTTATGCAATTCCGCAGGGCCTGTAAGGCAGAGACGTTCCACCAGGCGTTTGGTTGAGGACAGCAACGGCTTGCATCATGGCTGGCACCCCTCCTGGATTCCTATCCCTTGTGGAGTTTATTCCCTCCCCCCCCAATCCACGAAGCACCCACAGGCCAGAAAATAGGAGGGAACCACAAAAATTGCCATCCGATTCTAATTAATTAATGCATTATATTGTCTGATTATGGTTTTATGGTTTTTATTGCTTTTAATCTGTACATCACCTAGAGCCCCACAGTTGTGGGGATTAGGCGATTTATACATATAATTAAGTAAATAAACAAAACAGTGGAGAGAAGAAAACTGGAACGTGCTCCATTGAAATAACAGAGTGAACTTATGTACCCTCCTGTGAGCTCCCATCTCTGGCCCCAGCTCCTGCCAACCTAGTGGTTCGAAAGCAAGAAATTGCAAGTAGATAAATAGGTACTGCTTCGGTGGGAAGGTAACAGCATTTTGTGCGCCTTGGCCGTTTAGTCATGGCCACATGACCATGGAGAAGTCTTTGGACAGCACTGGCTCTTCAGCTTGGAAACAGAGGTGAGCACCACCCCGAGAGTCAGATTCAACTGGCTTTCGAGCAAGGGAAACCTTTACCTTTTCACATGTTCTAAAGACAGAACACCAAGTAAACGATGCTGGAGAAAAATGCAACCCCTGGCCATTTTTCAATTTTTCTGATGGAAAAATCAGAAATTGAGAAAATTGGAGAAAAACTCTTCTAAAACATTTCTCTGTGAACAATGAAATCCTTGTTAAGGAAAGTTTTTAATATACTGTTTTCTCTCCCCCAAAATGATAACTACGTAGACAGTCTACAGTATTAGGAAATATAATTCTTATAAATTACAAATTATACATTCTTATAATTCTTATAAATTCTTATAAAGTGCACAACTCTCAGATTCACACACTTGTTTTAGATTCTTCCATTTTCTGCGGCATAAGGAGAGGGCATGTTGTGTTCCACCAAGGGGGGAAAAAATCCCTGCATGGAAGCATCCTACACGAAAACTAGTCTATGTGTGGAAATACATGTACCAAAAGAACAAATTAATATGGAAAACAGAGAAGCTGCTTTCAATGCATGCCAGCCTTCAGATCTCTGAAATAAAACTTCAAGTCATAATCTGAAACTATCTTTCAGAAATTAATTTCTGAGAAAGAAACTCAAAGAGATATTATTTACAGGGACATATTTGTCGTTTAAGTAACAAGATATGGGATAATTTTTTCCCAGTTACTATGCCACTTAATGTAAGTGATGATGATACATAATGATATTCCACTTGACAGCCACACATCTTGTATTGCATTTCTGTATGCTTCAAGTCTGAGGCCTTTCCACCATGCCCTACAAATGATCTCTCATCCTTTCCCTCCCTCTTTTTGGATTTTTGTTAAACTGAACACCCAGATTGATAAAGCACTTGAAAGTTTGCTCATTGTTTTGTGCTTTTTAGTAGATCTTAATGCAATGTAATACAAGACTTTCTGAAACCTTTCTGTGGACCAAAACTGCTATCATACATTACTTAAGACTTCAATGGTAGTACAAGTGTTAATTCAACATTCAGATTTATTGGTAATTCTTAAAATTGATCTGTTAAAGCTGGAGGCAGACACTGGTAAAAAAAATGACTTCTCTGCTGTTACCAAGAAACTACGTTGTGTTTCTACATTCACATCTACATTGAAAGCACACACACATGTGCACACACACTTGGGTTTTGTTTTGCTTTTAGGAATTCAATCTAAGGGAAACAAAACTGTTGATCCCTGTAGAATAAATGAAGGCAATCAATGAACTGACTGCCTGGTAATCACTGAAATAACTGATTCAGAACACTCTGCACACACTCTAAATTGGTTTCATTTACTTTCATATTGCCAAATCTGATTTACTACATATTACTGTGACACTGGTATTTTCATTAACCAGAAAGCAACAGCACACAAGACGACAAGGGCTCCACGCAGGTCTGGAAGTGTAATTTCACAATAAGTGTAGTTTCACAGTCTACTTTCCATAGCCACCCCTCAAAAAACTCTGTATTTCAAGCCTGACAATCTAAATGGGCACACATTTTAGCACTGCTCTGCCAAGAACCCAGAAACCATTCAAAATAATGTAGTGGGAAAGCTCAACTTTCAGATCAGTACGCAAGTCAAAGTGGCAATACAGAGGTCAAATCTTGGCCCTAATTAGGAAACTAAAACTTCCACCTAAAATCTTCAAAAGCATGACAGCATTAATCCCTGAAATTCTCCCTGAATCTCTGTTTAAACGAGAATATTCCAGATTTATTCTATGGCTTGCCAGGCACTGACAGTAGCTTGCTGTACTTTGTTTTCAACAACAGACCTGCTGACTCTTCACAGAAAAGCCTAAAAACATTTGTGTTTAGGGAGAATTCTGCTGAACAACCCAACTTTTTCTTTTTTTGAACACCACCAGTTCTACGGTGCTTGCCTTTTTCTTTTCTTTTTTTCTGACGGGTCACCAGGAATATCCATACAACACAGGATCTGTTCAATCGTGTCCACAACACAGTCTAATCATATACAAAGCAATGAAATATAATTTCCTCCAAACTCATGATGTCAGATTGACAAAGAGAAAGATGAAGTGAAACCAACACTCTACTTGCAAGGCAAGTCATGAATAAGATACAGAAGGAAGCAAAAAAATTACACCATCAAAAAGTACTCCCTAAGGCAGGGGTCCCCCCATCCCCAATGTGGTACCTGTGGGTGCCATGGCACTCACGGACACCTTTTCCGGCATCCACCAAATGTTTTTTGGAAGTGGGTGGGGCCCACTTCTGACTGAATACTGGAGATTTGATTGGCCGTGCAGATTTTTTTTTAAAAATGTTACTTTGGCAGCAGCTGCTACCACCACACCACAAGGAACTACACTGTGTGACTAAAGTCAAACTGTGGCCATCATTTCATGGCTGGCTCCACCTCCTGCAGCAATCATTTTGTGGTTGCACCCACCATCCCACGTCAGAATTCCAAATGTGCCCACAAGCTCGAAAAGGGTGGAGATCCCTGCCCTAAGGCCAAAAAAAAAATATTTTATTTATTATCATTTATTAATTCAATGTATACCTTGCCCTCTCCGCCAAGGCAGGCTCAGGACAGCTTACATACAAATGCATATATAAATACAATTAAAATCATTAATAAAAACAGCCATAAACAAGTCAGTTATCAGTTTTCCTAAAGTGCTGGAACAATACACAAAGTGCGAGAGCAGAGATTTCTAGATTAAACAATACTACTTAAGTGACAGTCATGATGGTATTCTCCCATCAGCTCAGTTTGGTCGACTAATTAGTGCGACGAGACAGGCTGAAGGTGGTAAAGCCAGGGCACAGGGTGACTCTTTGGTGTTTGAGGCGGCTCCTAATCGAAGGTCTAATGGAAGAGCGCCATCTTGCAGGACCTGTGGAACTGTAAAAGGTCCCACCTGGGCCCTGATCTCTTCTGGGAGCACATTCCACCAGTACGAAGCTGCCACTGAGAAGGCCCTGGCCCTGGTTATCGCCAGCCTGATGTCTTTGGGGCCTGGGAGGGCTAGCTGGTTTTGGGCCCCTGAACGCAGTGCTCTCTGGGGAATGTATGGGGAAAGGCGGTCCCTTGGGTATGCCAGACCCTGACCATAAAGTGCTTTAAAGGTCAAAACCAGCACCTTGAAGCGAATCCAGTATGCTACTGGCAGCCAGTGCAATGCTTTCAGCACAGGCTGGATGTGCTCCTGCATAGAGAGACCCATCAACAGAACATTAAAGATATGGTCTTCGTTCAAGTCAACAGCAAAACTCCAACTGATTTTAGAGGCTGGGGTTAGTTCTGCAAGATACAAAACAGAGACATGACAGCAGACACTTTTTTTTTTTAGTCTGCCCCACTCACACATAAAAGAGAATATAGTACAGAAAGTGCCAAAGGGGCATAGTGCAAACACCCCTCCACTCTCAGCTTAAGGCCAAACTAGACAATACGTGTGACACGAGTCATGTTGGGAGGCTCCCCACTTTGACTTGCAGATATACATAACATCAGGGAACTAAGAGTGTGGCACAGGGAGAGTAGGGCCTTCAGCTTTCCTTCCAATACTATTCTTGCAAGCTGAAACAGCCACAGGGGGAGGGCTGTTTGTCCCGTACACATATATGTACCTCCATCTTATTTCAAATAACTGGATACTAATTAAGAGAAAAGCATGTACAGGTAATAATGGGAGGGTCCAACACTTTCCAAATACATCACATGGGTTCATTCAATCATACCTTCCACCTGCACTTTAGGTGGGAATGTAGAAGACCTACATCTAAAGATGCAGATCTAAAGGTCTGCTGCTAGTTTGTGTAGCTCGGGCCCAAGATATTAGCATATATGCAGGTGTTTTTCAGTTCTTGCCCCACTTGCATTACTCATACCATTTCTAATGTTAGGAGACAAGAATATCGAGAGTTGTTCTCTGACTTAGCCTGAAGGATAATTTCTCTTTCTTTTTTAAAGTTATTAAACCATCTTTTTAAACCTGTCTAATTTTTGCCATGAGCCAGGGAAGTATTAAATTGTTAGTTAAAAGGAACACGATCACAAATATCCGGTTAAAGACGCTTCACACATTTTTCTACACAGAGATAACTAATGTGCAGGAACAATTTTCCATATGAAATGGCCCAAGCACAGTACTCAGGATTTCCTAGAAAATGGAAGGGTGTTTGCAAGAAGTAAGAAAAGTGACAGGACAAAGATAATTCAATTAAACCTGTATTACATAGTCAGGTGTATGATAAAATTTCAAGGCTTTGATGATATTACCCGTTTTCTCTGGAAACTTGTTGATTTTTCTGACAAGCAATTTCTTTGTTCGCAACTCATTTTCCAGTTCCACCTGATCTCGTTTCCTTTTCCCAGTTGATTTTGCCTCCTTTTCTGAAGGATTCTCAAATGTTTTCAACCATTTCTTGTTCTTTGACTGCTTCTCTGAGGGCATTCTGTCCAGTCCCTGGAAAAGACCATTATATGAGTATTAGGATCTTGAGAGTTCTAATCCCCAAACATAGGTGCACACTGAAAGCTCCACGGTTTTAGTTTGCATCATCAACCCATTTCCTTTGTAAAAGATGTACAATTCTTTGAAATAAAGATGTTTCTTAGAACTCTTAGCCCTCTGGAGATCTTCCATGCATTACACACATCACAAACTATCCAAAATGAGACCACTGCTGCCAGTCACATGCAAGCCATGAACATTAGACTGTACTCAGTGTGTTGTTACTATCTGCCACCCTGTGCAACCCCAGGCTTCTCTTTGTCCTGTGCCATACAATGAATGGACAAACAAGGACTCATCTACACATACATTTCAGGCAGTTATTACCAATTATAACTTCAGTATCCATAGGTTCTTTAATCTGAGATCACTCCTACAAGCATGTTTTCCATTTCTGGTGGGAAAGACTGCTACTTCATTCATTCTTACTGTCAGGCATACAAATCAACAAATTTCTACCTGCATTCCCTTTCTCATTGGAAATGGACATACAGCGAATGTAATTTTAGGTAGTGAATAATGCCTTTGTTTTGCTCACACCAAAAATATGTGTATCCTTTTTATTAAGAATACATAGCATCATTTAACAGGAAAATTCTACTACCACATAATTTTTATCACAAATATCCATGAATCTATGGACAAATACTGATAGGGTTTCTGGTATTGCTGGGATGCTAAAATTTCAAGTTTAGGTGCAGGTTTAAGCCCTGGTTCAACCATGAAGTTAAGTTGGGTGGCCTTGGGCAAGTCAACCTCTCAACCTCATTTACTTCACAAAGGTATTGAGAGACCAAAATAGATTCGGAGCTCAAAGGAGTCAGGGGTAAACCATACATGCCCACCAATTTGGAATAAAACAGAAATCCAGTGGCACCTTAAACACTAACAAATTTACTCCAGCATAAACTGTCAGGAGGCAGAGTACACTCTATTGGACATAAATCACCAACTGACTCAAAAAAGTTTATGTAAACGTGGTCGTGGTTAGTCTTTAAAGTACTGCTGGACTTCTGTTTTGCTTTGCTGTAACAAAGTTACATGCCTCCCTGGAATTACCACCAACACAGAGCAATAGGTACGCAAGCCTGTCAGCATGCTCTCAGAAACCGAAAACAGCGGCTCCAAGTACTTGCGGAGATATTTATCTCCTCTTTCCGTCCCATCGTGTGTAACCCTTGAGAGGGCAAACGCTTACACTTCTGAACGTGAACCACTCAGTATCATTTTATTTTTAAACCCAGCATATTAATATACGGGAAACGAAAGTCACCATCACGAGCTCACTAGTTCCCGCATATTTCAGAGGCCACCCAACTTGACTCTCCCATTCAGTCCCCCCACCCCACCCCCACGCCCCGTTTCAGGAAGACTTCTTCTAGCTAACTAATAAGAAGCGAGGCAATTCAGCAAGAGGGCGATGAGGAGTTGTTTCGAGCTCGAAATGATGCAGGGAAAGAAGAG